TATTTCTGTTCTGCTAGCAAACTACTGTTTAATTCATTTTGGCCTGATTCTGCAGGTCTTCTGGGAGCAAAATCAAATTTAGAGAGAATGTACAAGAATTGCAGTATCAGCCATGTCTCTAATGGCAATAAATTTAGATGCCTAAAATTAGGTACATAAAGTGGCTTGGCTTTTTTAACTGCACTGAGCACTTGTAGCTCTTAGAGTTGTGTATGGGACAATCTGAGTATTTGGCATTTGCAGATGGCTTACATTTGAGTACCCAGTAAGGATTTAAAATCCCAGCTTCACATGTTCAGATTTAGTTTTTACAGAGAACTAAAATGAAAATAGCTCTTTGTTATTTAAACTAGTACTGGGTACGCTTCTGACGCTTTAGTTCCGCAATAGTAAGGAAGAAAAGTTCTCATAATATAACTTTTATAAAAGAAGTTATTCAGTCTATGCTAATGATATGTTTTGCTGTATTCTTCCAACATGACTGATGAGCTTGACTATCATTTGGCTGCTGAGGTGAATAACAATAGCAAGCTGAAGAGGTTTTTAAAGGCAGGCTGGTAGTCAGGTGTCAGACACTTACAGGCACCTTGGATTTCATAAGCCATTAAATTTCCTTTTTTTTTTTTTTCTGAGGAAGGTAAGGATTTGGAAATGTCTCAGTCTGTGCCCCAAACCAGTCTGCCTCTCTATTACAGCTTTAGGAATACTGTGTTTTGAGCAGTGAGGTGATATGAGTTCCTGCTGCAAGAAAGAAAATAAGAAATGATGCTGTGATCTCACAGGTAGTTCCTTCCTGTGGATAAAGGAAGCATAGTCATCCCATGGATTTTTCTGTCAAGGTGCACCCTTACATATAAAATTAAACAAATCATATGTTTACTTCATAGACATTTGTTACATTGAGTTGTGGAGCCTGGTGTTATGAGAGAGTGTGTTGTAACAACTTCTGATTTGAAAGTGGTTAAAAGACAGTGGTACTGAAGGAATAGATTGGAATTTACTTTTGGTCTCTTAAGCCTGTTTTTTATAATGTTCTGTTCTCAAAACAGCCAACCAAACAAGCAAAACTCCCAGAAGAACAGAAAAGCCCCTACCCTTACTTTCACCTAGTAGAGGAGACCTTATCCTCATCAGCATTCTCTGTATGTTCATCTTTTTACTGCTTTGTACACTGATTTAGCTTATCTTTAATGTCCCATCTGGCCCTTCTCCACCCCTGTGTTTTTGCATGTGGCTCTACAACTTTCCTGGTCATCTTTATCCACCTGCTCTGTGAGCTTTCCCCTGTCACTAGGTACTTGGCATCATCTTCACACAACCTATTACTTAACAATTTGATGAATAAATATTCATGCAACAGGAACTGTTTTATGTTATGCTGTCTGAAATTTGCTGTCCATTTGTATCCATGTGCCTGTGTTTTCCCAATTTAATTTGCCAAATATTTCCTTTCACTCAAGTTCTTAGGTGTTTGTATTCCTAGGGGTAGCACTGTGGGTACCCTTCAATATAACGTAAGCAGCCACTGCAATTCTCTGCAGACTTTTGTAAAGTAGACTGCGTGGGGATGGTATGAATTATCTTTAAATTTGTGTTTGGGTTTTTTTGGTGAATATGAAAAAAACTCCTATCAAAACCAGTGAGTTGGAATTAATTGCAATAGAAGAGACCTGCTTTTTCTTTTTTTCAACTTCTTTATTTGAGAAGAGAATAGTGCAAAATCTTCCTGGTTATTGTGTCCTGGTATTGGTAGGCATTGCCTGTTTGAGGATGACCATGGTAATGGGAACCATGCGCAATTGTGTTTTCTACTGCAGTTGTAAATTGGGAGTTCGCTTTTTCCCCATACTATGAAGACAGAAGTTAGTGTAATATAGATAAGGAATCTAAGGTTAGATAAAGCTAAGTAGCATTACAAAAATATCTCTGGGTTACATTTTGATGTGTTTATTATATGTTCTCACCGTTTTAGAAATTGATGCTGAAGGAAAAAACAGAGGTATATGAAACTTAGTTTTCCTTTTGCTGTTTCATTTAATGAGCTGTTCTGTTTCATGGATTCCTAGGTCTGTGGCATTCACTGGTATTTCTTGTACTGTGGTAGATATTATTCTATATTTTCAACTTGCTGCTTCCAACTGTTCATGCTCAGAAATATTATACGTTTTATAACCGAATAGGTACAGCTTCTTCATATTGTGAGTAGTAGCATATGGAAAGGAAAGGATGGCTTCTCTTTGCTTCCCCTCTTCATATTTCTTTGCTTCCCCTCCTTGCTAGTCTGGAGCTAAGTGCTCATCTTCAACTAATAAAATGAACTATGGAGTATATGTTACAGAACTCCTTTTTGTATAAAGTACATAATCACATCATTATCTTTTTCAAAATGCTTGTAGGAACGAAATGTATGCGTACTATTTGTGGGATGAGACTGTCACAGATAATCATAGCAAAGTCTTCACCAAACAGAAAATTTGCATGCTTTTACCCTATCTAAAGAGGGAACAGAAGCTTGCCATGCTTGTGTAGGTAACCAAGCACAGGTTGAGGCCATTAAACCTGGGATTATATTCTACATGTCTCTGCAGAAGGTCAATGGTCAGAGAAGCAGGAGTTCCAGGCGCACCCTGCAGTAAGAGCAGAGCTGCTCTGCAGTGCTCAGCGCAGTCCCTGCAAGTGGGAATACCGAGAAAGTGAAGGTTTCTGAACTGGCATGCTACTGTTGTCCCTCTTTTCTCATAACTGTTATGTTAGGGAGCAAAGAGCCATTGTAGTAGTTCCTTCTCAGAAACGGAATTAGCAAGCCAAATGTAAATGATTAGGGTTTTGTGGTTTTTTTTAAGAACCCGTGGATGCAGATTGTAAACAGCAATGTGATGAGACAGAGATAAGTTTGATAAGGCAATATGGACCAAAACTTCAAAATGACAGAAATAAAATATAATCCTACTTCTTATGACAAATGCATTGCAATAATTTTAGTATCTATCCTGTGCTATAAAGGACACAAACCCCTATGAATTAGGTCTTTCTCTTACTATTTCAGCAGTCCATTGTGTAGTAGGAATTGATAGCAATACAATGTTTTCCTTTTAATTTGATTATGCCTTACATAGGCACAGTGACTTAACTGTACCTTTGGCTGACTCTCAAATTCTGCTAGGTTTCTAGGAGGAAAACCTAAAGGAAGTTGGAGGAAAAACTCCCCCAGTTTAATTTTGCAGATGTGATCGTGTGTGATGTTACTTCTTTAGAGATTGAAGGAGTCTATTCCTAAATCTGTGTCTGCTTCCCAAAGCAATACCTCAAATATTGGATCTATGTAGCTCAAGACTTTGTCCAGAAATAAGGCTGCATACTTCTCTTAAAGAAAAAATGTCTTACGAGAGCAAGTGCAGAACTGGCAGGCCTCACAAAATAAAGCTCTCATAATAAGCTTTGGAGCAACCAAAGTGTTTCGGTAGTGCTGGAAGAGCACAGAAATTCACATTCCCAGTGCCAGGAAGATTTGATTTCTCCCCTGGAAATGTAGTTTAATTGTGATTAAATGCAGCAGATGTAAATAAAATAGCTTTACAATTTTATGTCCTTTAGCAGTGTTTAGTTATGCCATTTTATAACTATATTCCATAGACTTCATTTTCACTCCTTGATATTTATGCTATGGCTATTCCAATAGTAAGCTCTGATGTCGTAGGCTTTTTAGGATTTAGCTTGAATGTAGTCCAGCCAAAGTGGTGCTGTAGAATTAACTTGAGGCTTCAACAACTTAGTTTTCTAGGAGGCAAGTTTTCTCATTTGTCATGTGGATTGTTTGTTTTCTTCTTACCCATCACAGCATATGGAAGTGACACTACTTAGTCTTTTGCTTGTTTTGTCTGACACTTAATTTCAGTGATTTTCCCCCTGCAAACATTTATCTTTTTTTCCTCCCTTGAATTCGTATGTGTCGTCCTATGCATCTTCCAAATTAGACACTGCCAGCTCATAACTGTATGTGCCAAACTTTCAAGAATGATCAGAATTAAAATAGATAGGGAGCTTCCTTAAAATTGTTAGGATCACTAGTAGTCATGAAAAAAATTGCTATTTCAGATCACAGCCATTTAAGCTAGATGTACTTCTTAGCTTTTGAACAAAATAAATATAGGAAAAGATATTGAAAAGACCCTAAAGCAGAAATTGTTTATGAGTATTGATGTAGCTGAAGTCAGAAAGGCAGGTACATGTATACTTCACATTTACAGTGGAAGAAGTCAGCCCTATACCTGATGGAAATGCATATTGAGGCTAGAGCTTTTCAAAACATCAGTTTTCTTCAGTTACAGGGCTAGCTGCACTTCTCTGGTTTTTGCAGTCTGTGAGTGAAATCCATCATTTGTTGGCCATCCTACGTCTTCCCAATCTGTAATGAAATCTGTAGCTTGCTTGTGCTTGGAACATAAGCTGAGCTCCAGTACAGTTTTGTATCCATCGTGGTTACCCCGCTGAGTTGACTGCATTCAAACACCTGAGGCTCCTCCCTGGTCCGTGGGAGAATTTTTGAACACTGGTGAATATAGTGACCAAATAGAATACTTGAAACAAAAGTGCTGTTTATATGATAATAGCAATAAAATTTTAAAGAAGGGTTTTAGAGAAATTAAAGTATATATATCAAATAGTATTAATTGAAAAAATGAAAGTCAGATTGTTTCTATCATCATGCCCTCATTGAAATTGTGAGTATGGTGAATTTCTACTTACAGGGAGACAGTACCCAAGAAGACAAGCCTTTCTTGTAAGAGGTTCCTGTGTATTTGAACTATGTATATGCAAATATATATTTTTGTGTGGCGCACGTTATAAGCGTAAACTTCACCGATTCTGACAAAAAAGCAAGCCATGTCTCATATTAGAACCGTTTCTTCAATCTACTGCACAGTATCTTAAACTAGGGAAAGAGCTTGTATATGTTGTCTCCCTAATGTGTTATGACTTTCTTTGAATTATTTTTGCAGTGAAAAGACATTTGGAAGGGAATACCCAAGAAATGTCACGGGCCAACAGCTTCACTGATGACATTGATCTTGCATCAGAAGAGTTGCCACTGCCAGCTGTATCTGATGTGGCACAGTAAGTGGAACAACAATTTTTTAATTGGTAAAATAAGTGCTCATTAATGGTGGGGAAGACTTGTCACAGAATAAAAGTATTATTCTTTGGCTGGCTGCACTTGAAGTGATTATGAGTTTGATCTTATTTAACTATATGTGAACATTTCTACAAAATGCAGGTTTAGCTTTAAGTTTAATGGAAGTAGTCAGTCACTTGGAAAGAGAAGCATTGCTCTGTGATGGGTGGCTTGCAGTCTTGGTGTCTTGGTTGTTTTACTTTTTAAGGCAGCTGAAACAGTTCCTGAGATTGAGTTTTACAGGTAGGTTTATACTTTGTAGAATTCTGGAACAGTTTGAGCTCTAAAGCACTCATAATATGAATAATGTATGAATTGATTGGAAACATAAATGAAAGTCATTGATACAGCCTGAAAATAGAAAGGCTACATTATGTGTAATATTTTGATAAAGTAGGGACACTTGTAAAGAAATGGTGTTCCAAAAATTTGAAAGTAAAATTATGAAGGAGATGCTGAAGGTGTCTAGATTGACCAGGACAGAAAATCCCCATTATCAGTTCACTGCAACTGTTAAATGATCTTTCATGTTGCTTGTATTTGGTTTAGCCAATGTCTATTTCTTGAAATAAGCATAATAGTATCTTCATGCAGGACGCCCCCATATTCTGTTTTGACAGGATCTTGAGTAACCCTCATGCTTCTGTCTTATAATGTACAATTCCAGTGTTGGGGATGGGGATTCTGGAGTAAATTTCAAATGTGAAGCAGGGCATTAAAGCATACGGCCAGGCCTGGGTGGACCAGAGCATCCAGGTATCATACTAAGGCTTTATCTTACGTGCAGAAACTAATACAAACAATGCTGGTGAATAGAACTCTTGAGTTAGCAGTGATATATGACCTAAAGGTACGGTACAGCTGGCACAAGCTCATGAAGGTCTAACTAATCATTTGGATGTTATGTTAATGTTGGTGAAAAACTCGCTTGAGTTCATGCTTGCAAGACAAAATATGGAATTGTTGTTGGAAAAAACCTTTGTTAAATATCTGACATTGAAAAGAACAACAAAAGCTGTTGCTTGCCTTCAGATAGAGAAAAATATAGACAACAGTGTTCAGGATGAATTTGAAAGCAATGTGATTCCAATCTATAGTGTGATTGCTTTTAAGATGTTTTCTTTCACACCATATGATTACTTTCTATGTGACTCGTATAAATTGTGTGCCTACTAAATCTATAGTAATATACTATGCTTTAATACAAGATACTCTGGTGCTTGTATTTTTCCAACATGTTATACTTTGGACCTTCTTTCAAATTGGAGAATGATAATTTTTCGATTCAAATTGGTATTTTTTTTTTTAAATCGACATGGTGTAAGCACAGGATTTTGCATTTGGAAAGAAAGTTCTAATCTTATTTCTGCTATTTAGTGCCTGAAAAATGGTGGTGTTGGATGTTAATTCTGTATAGTGTACCTTGCAAACTACACCTGTGTTTCTAGCTCATATTAGAGTTTAAATGCATTTCTCTCTTGTGCAGAAAGTAAGAAAAGGAATAGTAGAAAGGTAACCAAATATACAAATGAAAAAAAAAATTAAAATATGGAGAGTATTTGAAGTAATATGCTACATGGTTTAATATATTATCAATTCATTAATTCTTGATGTGGATGTCAGGTGCATATAAACTGAATGATCTTGCAACTAAATATTGCTAAATTAATGATTATTAAATTCTAAGACCCATTATATATGATGTAAGTATAAATTTTAGCTTCTGAATATTTGTAATGAACTTCAAATGTACAGAAAACATAAGGTCAAAAGTTACAGATGTAATATGAAGTTATAAAGGTACTATGTAAAAACAAAGCCAAACCACTATTTTATGTAGTTTTGTGCTTTTAAAGTCAAGCACATCAGTTTTCACCTTTATAACATATAATCTCATCTTATATGCATGTAATTCTACTTAGTAGGAAGCATCCATTTAAGAGTTGTCCTGATTTTTGAGTAGAAATACAGTATCTTGTTATTCAAATTGTGAACTTCATTGGACAAGCACAAGCACAGAACATGATGTATTTATTATGGATCTTGGTTTTAAACTTCCATTTCTAATGCAAACAGTAAGGTATTAAGGCTGTATTTGCCCGATATGCTTGTCTTCTACGTGAATATTAGATATACTTAGTGTGATTATTTGTCTTGTCTTTTAGCAGAAGTGTAAGCAGGTAAGTCTTCATGTGTGCTATACTTGCTTTGGTGTGTGAGCTTTCCAAGACAGCATGGCTTTTGCTTTGCACTTAGTAGTGTATTTCCTAGTCTAGTGTGCCTTGGAATTTGTGATGGGAAAATACTTTTTTTTTTTTCTGTTAAAGTTCCATTTCTATTCTGTTTCTTTTACCTGGCTAGAATAAGTTATTCTGATTGTTCACATAAATGTTCTTTCATGCTCTGAAATTATCTACCAGTTAGATTTTATCCCCACATCTTCCCCACCCCCCACCCCACCCCCCCCCCCTTTCTCCGCTA